AAAAATTAAAAAAAGTAACATTAAAACAAATAGATTAATCATGATCACTTATCATATTTTCGCCTTCTTAATAAAGAAAAAGCATGGAAACAGGCTTTAGCGACCAAAGCATGTAGCTTAAAATGATATTAAAAATATGTATTACACGTAAGACGATACAATAAACACTTTCAAATCGTAATTAGTGTATTTCTACTACCATCCTAATTAACTTACATAAGCTTAAAACTTCCATCAGTTTCCCACACAATAAAATCATCGTAAAATGCAAGATTTAGAGAACATAAAAAGCTTAATTTGTCTAATTTATTTGGAAGACTAGTTTAATTTAAGCTCTGAAGGTAAAATTGTTTCTAGAAATTACACGGTGAATTTCTGTAAAAGCTCACGCCGCGGCGCTGCCGTTAAATGATCTGCCGCGCCGCGATGGACATCTCTGCTTTGGAATAATTAGTGAAATTTCGAAGAATCTCTCTTGTTTCATAGAATAGATTCGAAAGACTCTTAGAAAGAAACTAGTTATAAGAGAAGTATTGTAATTATGTCTGGTCTCTTGATTTCCCCTATTGGTTATAAGTATACCTTACTAAGGCTTAAAAAAGGTTGAAAATGGTTGGATTCATACCATATGTATATTGAGAACGATGGTCTTTAATATACGGAAAAATATAATTTTTGTCCTGTGTTTCTCAAAAACATTATTTTTTTGTATTATTGAAAGATTCAATTGATAATGATTATTCTCTTTTAAATTGTTTTTGAGCTCCAGAAACAAGATTGAGAATGAAAAACCATTGGAAATACATGATTATTTTCATATACATATTTATCGTCTAATGTGGTCGGCTTTGTCAATTATTTAATTTTCATTTTCTGTAAAGGTCTGTGAAAGTGTATATATGTCGCTAGATTTCCTGGTACAGTACTGAAGTAAGCAAATGCAGTTTTTTTCTTTCTTTTTTTCTTTGCCAATGTTATTTGCTTTTGTGCATGTCTGGTAACTCAAGATGATTGAAATGTAATGAGCGTTACCGAATATCCTAGGTCCGTTGCATAAATGAGAGAGCTTTGGACTAAACTTATATGTTGTAATCCACATCAACGATGTTGTCCCATAAAATAGTCAATAAAACATGTTTGGTCAAATAAAAAGTGGTTGTTTCAGTAAAATGACATTGATTTCAAGTAGACTATCATTGTCTCATACATGGCACTGGTGTTTTGAAAAGATTGAACTAAATTAAAATAATGTGAAGGAAGAATTTCTATGAAAAATGAACATGATTGTTGATAAAAGAAAAGTACATTCTTATAATTATCTAGGTTATTCATGATAGATCTAAGATAATTAATTATTAAAAGAATCTTTTTCTCATCGCTATTGAATGCCTCGTTGAGTAGCAATTTGCATAGTTCTTCAGTTTTGTTTAATGTATTCACAGTAATCGACAATTTTGCCTATGAGTTGTCATACAGAACTATCTCTCTCATTCTCGTATACACTTCGTGAGAATCTGAATTTGCTTGTCATCAGCAGTGGTCAGTCTGAAATACAATTGATAAATTCGATCATTCTTATCCTTGTTTTTCGTGATTCTCCCATCACAAAAGACACTATAGATCAAGGAAAGAATGTTTTCCTCAACTTTGAAATGATAACCTTTTCAAACAGTAACTAATCGAGTGGATAAAATCGAATGATATTTATACTTTCTGTTTTTTTTCAAAATATATTGAACAAAGCTGAGCGAGGATTCTTGATCTTCACCAGTAGACAAATAATTGTTTCAAATAAAATGTTGTCTTCGCCTAAATAAATTAAAAATTAAAATAAATTTACTCATTATTAAATTCAAATTAAGGGTCATCGTTAAACAACAATTACAAGTCAAATTTAGAGAAAAACACGTCAACTGAAAATTGCATTAGGATCACATTCTGACAGCTTTACACATGATATCTTCATCCCGCATGTGATGTGCTTCTGTACATTTCTTCCTTCGCAACAAGGTGATACCTACATATAGTACGATAGCGGGAAGAAGGAATTCAGACGGCACGGAATCGTGTACATGATGAAGAAGAAAGGAATATCTTTTAAAAAGAAGTTGAAACAAAGAAGATCAGAATGAAAAGAAAACTCCATTATGCATGACTAATAACAAGAGTAAAGAAGAAGAAGGTAAGTGCATACCTATAACCATAACGATAACGTGTGACGTTAATGATATTAGTGAAAATTAGCTATGTTCAGTTTTGCTATATAAGCTCGCTCAAAATGTTGAACGAATTATCTCTTGTATAGTTTTAAGAAGAGATATTCTGTCATAATTCCGTACATTATTGTGTCCGTTATCGAGCAAGCTTATGCAATGAACAGAATACTTAATTCTGACTGATTTTCATGAGCATTATTCACTTCAGTAGCTTTTTCTTTAGTAATAACTATATGGGTCTTTCAGAACATGATCCATTTTCGACAGTATCGATTTCACAAAATTGTTGGAATGTAATTCTAATTCAAAGTTCATAGGATATGTTTTTTCCGAATTGGACTTGTAGCTTTTGTTTTTCAATGACGATGAATTCGAACTTGATCATGAGTGAAACTATTTTAATTCTAATTTTTGTCCACACAAACATTTTATTCAAATTATGTTGAATAAAATTTCAATGACTATAAGATCATATTGTAAAATGATTGAATGCACTATGTAAATAAACTAAAAGCAAGTTTTTTTTACTTCCCTCTATTATACCAAAGCAAAAAATCAATCATATTATTTAGTTGTCTTGATCGTATTCATCAATGAAAACTTTTGATTTGAATTCACTTTTCTCTTTTCTTTCTATATTTCAAAATGAAGTATACGTAAAGAAAAGTATATTCTACACTGAACAAAACAATCTTCGAATGCTGTATATTTGCACATAAAATACAAAGTAAGAAACACACAAAGAAGAAATCAGACGGATGTTTGTTGCTTTATGCTTTAATCTAAATTAGCCGGACTATTATACCATTTGTATATTCTTAAGCATAAAATCGGATCAATAATTACTACAGAATTATTATATTTAGATTTTTGTGAACATGATCTTGATGAATCGAACCACATTTTTAATTTATGATATCGATAATCACTACTAACATTAAGTGTTATTTGAGATAAAACCATTCCCATATATGGACCAATAAGTACCAAATTTGAAGAAATTAAATGTAAAATATAACTATCTTTATCAATTATAGATTGATTATTTGCTTGAAATATTGGTGAGATGGCTTGAATTTGTATATCTTCTTGTTTTGATTGTTGAACATTATCAAAATGAAATTCAAAATAATAATTATATAAATCACGTTGTGTAGGTCGTTTTGAATACCATATACGAATACATCGAGATGATAATAGAAAATGTGGTTCTTTTTGTATAACATTCGTTTTATCGAAACGTTCTTGAAATAATGGATAAGTTTGATATAACGATTTTATAACATACGTTCGAACTATCGATAAATGCTCTCTTACAAGTAGTCGAGTAAGTCTTTTTGCTTCAAGTTTATTATATCTAAACAAAGAAAAATTAAATTTTAAAGAATATAAATGAATATCTTACTTTCTAAATACAGATATCCAAAAAGGTACTGAATTTACGATTTGATTTGTTTTACGACAAATTAATGCAAATCTACCAATATCTTCGGGTGCAATATACATAGCAATTAGATACCATAAATCAAATGGATAATCTTTTCCATGATAATTATTTTCTATTATAAACGGTTTTTTTAAAGATTTATTTTGTGTAGAATGAATTAGTTGTTCTTCAATGACAGTATGTTCATCGGATGATTGTAGATCATCAAAATCACTTAAATCTTTTTCATACCAATCTTGTTCATCCATTATAGTTTTACCTAAATCTATCATTTGTTGAAGAAACGAGTTTTTTATCAATATGAATACGTATAAATACTAAAATCTAAACTATGTACATAGAGATGACGTTGTTATTACGCAACTTGTTTATTACCTTCCAGAACAAAACGAAGAAGTTATCCATATGATGATTGTGTTTGGAAGGTTGATGAGGCCTTGATTATCAACTTTAATAAAGTGAGAATGTTGTGGGCGTTTAAAGCACAAAGAAATTAAAAAAGAACCGATATTAATCAATCATTGTGCAAGCAGATCAAAGTCGTGATATGTTCAGAGGCTTATCAGTTATTGTTTAATAAATATAACTATTTTTGAGATATCGAAAAAGAAAACAATTTTTCTAACTTAAACATTTATATGATTTACTACTTAAATCTATTGTTTTTTTCGTATTTGGAAAATATTCAATAGATGTCATTAGAAGTTGATGTGAGCCAGATTGAGGCGTGTAACTAAGTCACCATAAAAAAACGATTGCCTGTTATGAAAGTTATCAGCTGTGAAAATAAGTGCAAATCTTAGAATTTGAATCTTTATTGTATTCATATTATACACATGCCGGAAGATATACGAAAGACTCATGTTCTAAACACAATTGCAAATTATTTTGGTTTTGATTATGATGCGCTCACACCATTATCTGATCATCGTGCATTGGGTAATTTTCTCGACGATGCTAATTGTCCTTTACTTTCAGCAACACGTGGTCATAAACATTCAGTTAATCTTTCTAATGAGGTAATTTATTAAACATTGCATTAATAATATTGTTTTTCTATCTTTTTAACAAAAAAAAAAGATCAAAGTAACGGAGGGTTCACAATGTCTTGTTCAATTCAAAGTTCGACCTGATGTAATAACACCAGAAAATGTTCATACAAATATTTTTTTATCATCAATGATCGATTCACCATTAGATTCTCTTTATTATATGATTAAATCTGTATTTACACCTGCATTACGTGATAATAAATCGAATTCATCTACTAATCAACAAATTCAAACATCATTAAATGAACTAGAACAAATTCTACGTGCCGTAGGAAAAAAAAGTGATAGTAATTCAACAATAGGAAATGTATTTCATCCAAAAGATGAAATTAATTATTGGATTGACATTGCACAAAATACATCAAATAGATCGAAAGATATTGAACGAGCTAAATATTTTCTTGAATTACTCGACCCAATTAAAGCAGATTTTAATAAACTTGAAAAGTAAATATTTTTAGGAATTTAATGAAATGTTTTGAATATATTCAAATTTTTAGTTTGACTCTTACTGAATTAGTCGAAGTTGTTGATAAAACACAGGGTAATATTTTCAAACAATTAATGAAAGAAATTTTCCAACTGTTCAATTGCTTTTGAGTCGGCATTATTATCCGTATTATATAAGCACTAATGAGCTATGAGTATCGTAAAAAAAGGAGTATAGATTGCTAGATTATTCGTGTCGCGATACTGCACTATGGTTGTATCTTTTAAACACAATGCCGTTTGTAGTTCACCTCACGAACAATAGAAAAACTGAGTTTCGAGTTATGATTTGAAACTTTGCACAGAGGCTAGTCTTGGTGAGGACAATTCATTCGGAAAGTTTCTAATATTTTTACTACTTCTGCTCTAAGATACGACTATGATAATAGCATGTTTTTAAAATGTTCATGTATATCGGCAAGTCCCAATGTTTTTATTTCAGAATAGGAATAATGAAAATATTTGAAACTTTCACGAAAAACTATTCTTATTGAGGCCTGTTTTCTATGTAAAGTTTCAAACCACAATTTGAAGCTCAGTTTTTCTATTGTTCGTTCTGAGAGGAAACATGGCATTGTACTTAAAAACACACAGTCATAATGCAGTTCCAGAAAGTGAGTGCAGTATCTGAGCACTATATTTTATCACAAGATGCTGAAAAAATGCTGAGATGCTGAGATTGCTCATATATCTTAGGAAAATAAGATAGAAATTCAAATGATAGCTAGGATGTGACACTTAGTTCCAATTGAATGTTTTCCAATCAAATTGAGACTATTTTTCAAAAATATAGCAATCTTAATTTAAACTTGATCAAAGGTTTTCGAGATCGAAGAATCTAACTCTACAGATAATTTCTCGAAATTCTCGAGTACGGTATCTCGATTAATGAAGATCTATTTTAAAACAATAAATAAATTTTATACATTCTAATTTTATCTTGAGAAATAGACTTTGTCTAACTGATAAAAACAAACTCGAGAACTTCGATCAACCATCGATAGATGCAGATTTTTCGGCCTTTTTGTTTCCTCATATTCTTATTTGAAAACTAGTTTATTTATTTGAGTTATTATTTAAATTTCTTTCTGACACTTAAAGTAGCGCAAAACTTTAAAAATAAGCCTAGTTTAATAATTTTGATACTCATTGTAGTTCGGACTTAAGAGCAATTGGACAATTGAGAAGCTTTCCTCATAAGATTGCTTTATTGAATAAAATTTTTTATTATTAATTTAATTTCTTAGATGCTTATGATGAATTATGGAAACAAGTTGAACACGATGAATATCCTGAACAACGTATGAAAAATTTATTATCAATAACATCGAATGCTTTTGTTCAAACAGTTCAAAAACAATTATCAAATATTGATTTATGGTCTGATTCAAAAGATTCAATAAAAAGTCGTGAATATTTACGTAATGGTGCTACTATATGTGAGCAATGGTCTCTTTCTATTGAACGATTAACAGGTACCTATTGGCGTAATTATAATCCACATCCATGGAAAGGTGAACCATTCAAAGCAACATATTTACTACAATTTAAAAAACGTTTAAATGAAATCATAAGTATTCGTTCATCATACGAACAAAGTATACGTTTTAGTTCAACAACAAATAAAGAAAATTTGTCACCAAAAAAAGTTTTTGCACCATTTATGAATCTCAATGCAATACAAATTGATCCATATACAGATTCTCAATGGTATTCAGCAATGAATCAATTTGAAAATTTAATGACAAATACAGATCGTGATGTTGCAAAACAATTACGTGAACATTTTCAAACAATACGTTCAAATCCTCAACAAATGTTAGTTGATTTTAAACGTTATAGTGATTTAATTCAACGTGAAACCATTCGAAAAGATTTAGCATCAGAACGAGAATTACTTTTAGGACAATTAGAAAGTGACATAAGAACTTTAACAGATGAATTTAATAATTTAACCAATGGAAGAATGGGTGTTGGAGGAAAAAAATCTATAACAAGAGGCGTCAATCGAACAGTAATTGCAGGATTACTTGATGCTAGTCGACAAATTGAAACAAAAGTAAACATTTTTGTTTTAAAAATTTTTAGTTTTGAATAAATTTTCATTTATTTATTAAGGTTAATAATATAATCACTGATGGAGAAAAATTATTAGGTGATTTATCAGGTTATGCGCGCGTAGCTTCACTTGCTAAACAACTTAAACAAGATTTAATTAATTGGCGGAAAGATAAATTTCGAGAATGGTGTCAAGATACAATACATGCAATTGATGACCCAAAACAAGAATTAAGGTTTTACTTTTATTAGAATTATTCGTTTTTTTTTCTCTGGAACTGACATATGTTTTCGAGGAAAATAGTGAGCGTAAGTCTAAATCGAGATTTCTCTAAATGCCCCTTCCTAGGTCGTAGCAATCGGGGAATTCTTCAGAAGTCAGTAAATACATTTTTCCTTGCACCTGAAGACACCAAACTATCTTTCCATAGTTCCTTAGCAACGAAAAAAAAGGCGTTGAACAACCTTACCAACAAGATGTAGGCTGTACTAGACGATTCCCCATAAAACTTTATATGTTTCGACATGATTAAAGTCCTAAGGTTTTCTATTGCGAAGAAAGTTCTAGAGCATTTCAAAGCTTTTCCTGCAATTTAAATGAGTGGAATCTAGCGGTAAATGTTCCAAATAGCATCATATGATGAATATAAAAAGTGTAAACTGTTCGTTGTGTTCATGAGTTTTTCTTCTATCAAGATTATTTTGAATTTTAGTCTCGAAACAAGTGGTCGTTTAATGGAACTTGATTCTCGTGATGGTAAATTACGTGTACTTTATGGTGATCGTTTAGTTACATTACTTAATGAAGTTCGACAATTATCATCACTTGGTTATGATATTCCATCAAAAATTATGAAATGTGTTGATATTGGAAAGAAATTTTATCAATATGGAGTTGAACTTCAAGCTGTAAAATCTTTTATTTTTATTTTTTTATTTAAAAGATTTTTAAAATAATACTCTACTTTTGTTTTTAGGTAGCACATTTTTATAATACAATCGATACTGAAATGATTCCAAGTCAACAATCATTGATGCTTGATTTAGCGAAAAGTTTTGAACGTCTTGTTAAAGATCCTAAAGTATCACGTAAGAATTTATTTTATTTTCTCTTTTTTTTTTGTATATAATTATTCTTGTTTATTACTAACAAAGAACGTGGTGGTGGTGGAGATTCGAGTGGTCAAATAACTTGGGATAATCCAGAACAATTAACGCGGTACATATCAACTCTTCGTGCAACAGCAGAAAAACTTAAAACAGAAAATTTAAAACTACGCCGTCATCATTTAACAATTCAACAAATTGTTTGTTCATTAATGAATACGGATTTATTACGTGAACCACATAAATGGCAATATCAAGTACAAGAAATTCGAAAAATCATGGATACATTAACAAATGAAGGTTATGCAGCAAAAAATATGAAACCATGGAGAGCATTTTGGGATAGACAATTATATAAAGCACTTGAACTTCAATATTCAATGGGTTTAAAAGCATTAAATGAAAATTTACCTGATATTAAAATTGATCTTGTTTTTGGGTATGAAAAATATTTTCGACAACAACAATTTTTCTTTTTAAAATATTTAATTTTGTTTTTAGTGAAAAATCTGTTCAATATAAATTACCAAGTTCTCTTCAAGCTCAATCAAGTATTGAAGCAATAAAAGCAACTTATTATCATGAAATGAAAAGATTTTTATCAATACCATTAACATTTAAAGGTTGTAGTGATACATCATCATCTGGTAAACATTTAATATTTCAAAGTATAATGTCACTTCATAGTGATGATATTGTTGCATGTTTTTATACATCAAATGAATTATTTGCTAAATTAGAACGTGGTTTAAATCAATATAAAGAATGGACTGTTTTAGGACAAGTTGATATTGAAGAATTAGTAGAAAAAAATTTACAAGATGTCGAAGATTGGGAAAGAAATTTTAGAGCATTAAAAATTCGTGGGCAAGATGCTGAAAAGTTACCAAAGTAAATAGAAAGATTTATTGTGTATTATCAATGTCTGATAATTTTGTCAACTAACATTTTCTTTTTTCTTTCAGTGAAGTACGCTATGATTGTTTTGTTGTTAATGTAAATCCTCTTAAATTAACAATAGAAAATCAATTACGACGTTTACATGATTCTATGTTAAGCTATCTAAAACGTTCAATTGTTCGTGATGCAAATACAATTGATACTTTTGTTGATCAAGGTCTTGAAACTTTAAATGATCGTCCACAAACTCTTGATGAAATTAGCGAATCATATAAAAAACATGAAGACTTAAATTCTAAACGAAAAGATATTCTACCATTATATCAACGTCTTGAATCAAAAAATAAATTATTACGTTCTGTTGCTGGTAGTGGTCATGAACAATTAATTCAATTACAATTAAAAATAGAAAAATTTGAATCAATGATGAATTCACATATTGAATTAATAAATGAACAAAAAGATATTTTGAAAAAAAATATTCAATCACGTTATGAAACATTTGTAAATCAATGTGAAAAAATTAAATTACGTTGGCAACAATTTCGTCCACGAGAACAAGATATGGAAGATGAAAAAAAATGTCGAGATTCATTAAAACTTGTTCGTGAAAAAGAACAAGAAATTCAAGATTTATTAAAACAAAAAGAAAGTCTCATGTAAGAATTATAGATGACCAAAAAAACTAACACCTAAACATAAAACCAATTATTATCTTTTGTGAAACACGATATAAAACGAGTGTTGAAGTATAGAAATAGAATTTTGATCTCCGCTGCCTACCAAAAAACCGTTGCAGACATTCTAGTAACCTGTTGCAGACTGTGACGAGGATCTTGGCAATATTCTTGTTGACAATGTGAATAACAGTTATATCGTGTTTCACATTTTAATCTTGCATGGATTATACTAACAGTTTCTGTTTATATTTTTAGTGAAGAATTTAAATTATTTGGTATGGATTCACCAGTATTTCAAGATTTAGATGAAGTTAATGGTGATATAATGCAAATAAAAAATGTCTGGGGAGTCTATGAAGAATATCAACAAGAATTAAATGATTTAATTAAAGAAGATTGGGTAACATTTCGAAGTAAAACATATCGTTTTGATGAATTTCTTTCTAATTGGCAAGAAAAATTAAAACAATTTTCAACTAATGAAGCAACAAAATCATCAAAAAAGAGTTCAACTAGTAATATGAATATTCGTATACAACAAGAAATTGATAATTATCGTTTAATAACACCATTATTTAAATGGGTTAGAGGTGAAGCTTTATCACCTGACCATTGGTTAGAATTATTTCGAATACTTAAAATGCCACGTGGGACAATGTTAGAACGATTAACATTTGGTGATATATTAAAAGCACGACAAGAAATTGCAAATAATGCTGAACAACTTAAAGATTTAAATACACGTGCACAAGCTGAACATACAATTCGAGAAGCCTTACGTGAATTAGATAATTGGGGTGCTGGTGCACAATTTTCTTTAACAGATTATATTGATACAAAACAAAATAAAATTCAAATTATTAAAGATTGGAAAGATTTATTTACACAAATTGGTGATAATCAAAGTCTTTTATCATCATTAAAAGATTCACCATATTACAAAAATTTTGGTAATATAAATTCAGAGAAAAAAAAAAGAAAATCATTCATTATTCAAATATAATTAATTCAATAACTTTAATAGATTTTTAGTTCAGTTAACTGTGTCAAATATAGTCTGAAAAAAAAAACTATGATATTTGACAACAAAACCTCTCTAGGCGTGTCATTTTGTTTGAGCTCATATTTTGCTGATCAATAGAGCATAACGAGTGATAGAAAAGTAATGAAACAAAATGTTCACCTATTTTTCAACCTTTTAAAGGAGTCTGAAAAAATTTGAGAACATTGGGTTAGAATCAGAACTTTGTATTGTTGTCGAATAGAGTGTGAATCTTCTGTTGACCTACAAACGCATACACATCCTCATCCTAATCATGGCGAACTCGAATCTTATCATGACTAAAGCTGATTAGGAGTATTTATTTATTATCCAATTATTGTAAGATTCATAATTCTTAAACGAAATCGATCAATTCCTATCATTTATAAAACATGAATAGATGAATGTAAACTTGATTTTTCAGAGGGTCAGGCACAAGTATGGGAACAACGCTTAGGTATTCTTGATGAATGTCTTCATACTCTCAATCAAATTCAACGTAAATTTGTGTATCTCGAACCAATCTTTGGCAGAGGTAAATAAAATGAATTAAATAAGTAAAATATTTTATTACTATTTTTCTTATATTTTAGGTGCTTTACCTAAAGAACAACATCGATTTCGTGAAGTTGATAAAGATTTTCGTGAAATCATGTCGGATATTGCATCGAATCCTCGTTTAGTTGTTGTTGCACAACGAAAAGATTTATCAAATCTATTAAAAACAATGCTTGATCAATTAGGTCGTTGTCAAAAAGCACTTAATGAACTTCTTGAAGTAAGTATCAAAAATAAAAAAAGAAATACATGTATTTCTTTTCAAACATTAATATTCATATCAAAAATATTTTAAGGAAAAACGTTCAATATTTCCACGTTTTTATTTTATTGGTGATGATGATTTATTAGAAATTCTTGGTCAAGCAACAAATCCAACTGTTATACAATCACATTTAAAAAAACTTTTTGCCGGTATTCATTCTGTTCGTTTTGATGAAAGCAATCAACATATACTTGGAATGCGTTCACTAGATGGTGAACTTGTTCCATTAATAAAGAAAATTCGTATAACAACATCTGTTGAAGAATGGCTTAAACAATTATCAAAAGAAATGATTTCAACATTACAACAATTATTAACTAATGCTTTACAAGATTCAAGAAAACAAATTGGTCAAGTACCTGTTGAAAAATATCCATCACAAGTAACAACAACAATAAAATAAATCATTTCATGTATACTTGTTTAATGTATATTTATGTCTATTTAGATTTCATGTTTAGCTGAGTCAATTAATTTTACTGAACAATGTGAAGAAGCAATTAAAAATGGAGAATTAGAAAAATTTCATAATGATATTAAACAAATACTTGATAAATATACAAGTGTACATATTAATACGGATACAACTGATGGTTTAGTAACAGATTTAAAATATAAAGCATTAATTATGGATACTGTACATAATATGGATGTTGTACAACAATTAAAAGATGCACGAATAAGAAATATTTATGATTGGTTATGGCAAAAACAATTAAGATTTTATTTGGAAAATAATAAAGCTGTTATTAAAATGGTTGATGCTCAATTTAATTATACATATGAATATCAAGGAAATGCACAAAAACTTGTACATACACCTTTAACAGATAAATGTTATTTAACATTAACACAAGGAATGCATATGGGATTTGGTGGAAATCCGGTAAGTATTATCAGCGCCAGAAGTTACCAAACTCGAATAACTGATGTGCTAACTGCAACGGTTTTATGACCGTTATGCTGCACTTTGTATAACGCTATCCTTTTCTCTATATTTATGTGTTCACACGTTGATCTTGTGAGTATCTCTCATTTTTTAGCGCATGATCGTATGCTTCTTGTTCCTATTCACTTAGCTATGCTTGCTCTTTCTCCTATGTAAGACGATGCAAACGAACGAAGAGCACGACTAGAGATGTGCATATGACACAATACACCATCATGCCGACGGGCATACCCGCACACTCTCTATGTCCGTCACACTAACCTATTAATTTCTTTTTCGTAGGTATATAGTCTTGTGCGTCTTCTGTAGAATTGAATTCAATCATAGTTTCAGTTTTGTTTTGATCAACAGTTTCAGATGGTTTTTAACAAGTCTTAAGATCCTCAAACTGTCTGGTCATGCATTTTGAGCAACGCATCAAATTATAGGTTATCGATCAGATTGAATCTGGTGCCTATGTGAACTTTCACAAATAATGTGAGAACCATACGAAATCCTATGTGCTTCACATAGCCCAAATGTACTTAATTTTATGTGCTTTGAATGATTCTTTGCTAAGAACGAAAAAGTCATTCTGTTAATTGGCCAATTCTCTGAAAAAATTTTCGAAAATGAAAAAAGTTTCCTGCGGGCTTCCAAAGCTTTTGTTGAGTTTAACGGTATGCAGCATATAAAATAGAGTATATTTTGATTTTTTTAAAGCAGTTCGAATGTATTCTGGGAGAATTATAAAATTTGCAAGTTTTTATGAAAATAACTTTAAATTTTTTTTCTCGTTTACGGAAGAGTTTCTTATGATGCTTAAATATTTTTGTTTTGAAAACTAACACAGTCATAACACTCAGTCTGATCGAACAACAGAAAATCTTACAACTTCTGAAAAATTCTTGACTCAAGCAAAACTGAAATTCTTTTTAAATCCAGTTGTGCAGAAGACATTCAATGTTACATTCCTATGGGAAAAAATCAATAGGTTAATGTGTTAGCTTTCAGGAGTACAACGTAGCTTGTCAAAGATCCTTTGAAAAATCTCTCCTTATGAAAAGTTGCCTGACAATCTTCACTATCGATTGCGGAAAACCGTATGTTATTATCTTGCATTTCGTGTGAATTATTGAAAAAACATTCGACTATGGTAACTTCTGACGCCGACAACAGTTTTGGTTTTTCTTTTCGTTCGAGTTAATTTTTACGAGACTTTATTTGTTTAGTATGGACCAGCTGGTACTGGTAAAACAGAATCAGTTAAAGCTCTTGGATCGACATTTGGACGACAAGTACTTGTATTTAATTGTGATGAAGTAATTCTTTTGAATATTCACAATAAAATAAATTTATTGTGTTCTACCTAGGGTATTGATGTGAAATCAATCGGTCGAATATTTATTGGTATTTGTAAATCTGGTATGTATAATAAAATATACTTGTTATAAGTTGATTAATTTCTTTTTTCTTAAGACGCTTGGGGATGTTTTGATGAATTTAATCGTTTGGATGAAGCTGTATTATCAGCTGTATCAATGCAAATTCAAGTTATTCAAGATGCTTTAAAAAGTGGTGCAGCATCATTAACATTACTTGATCGTAAAATAGAAATAAATCCAAATTCTGGAATATTTGTGACATTAAATCCGGCTGGAAAAGGTTATGGTGGTCGATCAAAATTGCCAGATAATTTGAAACAATTATTTCGACCTGTAGCTATGTCAAAACCAAATAATGAACTTATTGCTGAAGTTCTTCTCTATTCGGATGGATTTAAAAATGCTAATATTTTAGCAACTAAACTTGTTGCATTATTTAATTTAAGTAAAGAACTTTTAACAACACAACAACATTATGATTGGGGTTTGAGGGCATTAAAAACTGTATTAAAAGGTTGTGGAACATTATTAAGAAATGCAAAAGCTAATAAAAGTACGTAAAATCAAAGAGATTAGTTGATAAAATATTTAAAATAAAGAGATTTTGCCAGAAGGAGTTTCCGAAAGTTTCGCTCAATATAATGTCTAACATTAGTAGGTTGTAAATCAATAGCGAGAATAGAAACGATGTCAGCTAGTATCCTGCAGAAGTGATTTTTCTTAATGCCTGTTATCGTAAGATTTTTTGAAATTTCAGGTCTTTTTTCATATTTTTACGTTTGTGCAATATGATATGAGTTCAAATTAAAAGTAAAACTATGATTCGAACTACAGTTGACTAATAATTTACAAACAAAAAGTTGTTATATACATTTATCCTGGTGTTTGTTTATTGAGATAAGATAAAAAGTTTTCTAGAACATAAATAGTTAATACCAGTTCCGTTTTGAAAGATCTTACAGCAATTCTTAATTCATGACTCGAAAAACACTTTTGTCCTTCTGTCTATTACGATTATTTCTATGAAACATTAAAATCACAGAAAAATATAGTTTTTGTTTTACTTGTTCACTCAATCTACAGTTCATGGAAATAAGAATCATAAAAAAATGTCATATATTCTAAGACGAATCGAAAAGGTCTTCGAGGACTCGCTTCAAAGTCTAAATACAGATTCTTTACGAATAAAATCTTCTGATGTTTATTACAAAAAAAAATTATTTACGAAATTTTCTGATAGTAAGACTTAATCTTCTTGTCTTTGAACTCTGTATGTGCTAGCCAAATATTAAAATCCATCCGAACACTTATTAAATTTCAATAATTTCCTGAATTAGAAATGATTTTATACTAAATCTGAATGATTTAAAGTCGACGAGTTGCATCTTTTTTTTTGATTGTTATCTTTCGATATGAAATATTAAATAATCAATTTTTAGTTATACATCTTTAAAAAAATTTCATTATAATTTAGTTGAAATCTCGTCCAAATATGAATCTCAATTAGTTGTACAAGCAGCTCGTATCAATACTTTGTCAAAATTAACATTTGGTGATTCAAAACGATTTGATGGTCTTCTACAAGATATATTTCCTGGTATTGATTTACGAGATATTGAATATGAAAATTTACGACAAGCTTTACATGAAGTTTATAAAGAACATCATCTATTAATAAATGATATGCAAGTAAGAATCAATTAACTTGATTTTTTTTAATTTTCTATTGATTGTTTTTTGCTTAATCTTAATAAATTAGATTCGTAAAGCACTTGAACTTTATGAACAACTTCGACAACGTATGGGTGTTGTTATTGTTGGTCCATCGGGTTCAGGAAAATCAGTTTTATGGAAAATGCTTCAACATGCTATGCAAAAAACAGGACAACAAGTTCGAACATATGTTATGAATCCAAAATCAATGCCAAGAATACAATTACTTGGACATATTGATATTGATACACGAGAATGGTCTGATGGAGTATTAACAGCAGCATCGCGTGCTGTTGTTAAAGAACCACTTGGTATTTACAAGAGAAAAAAATTATCTTATTTTTTTTTTTAAATTAAATTTGTTTTTTTTTTCCTTGTCTTGAAAAGAAATTCAATCATGGATTGTATGTGATGGTGATGTTGATCCAGAATGGGTTGAATCATTAAATTCTGTACTTGATGATAATCGTTTATTAACAATGCCATCTGGTGAACGTATACAATTTGGACCTAATGTTAATTTTCTTTTTGAAACACATGATTTAAGTTGTGCTTCACCTGCAACTATTTCACGAATGGGAATGATTTTTCTAAGGTTTTTATTTTTAAATTTATGAATGTTTTAATGATTATTTATTGATTTTATTTAGTGATGAAGATACAGATGTAAAAGCAGTTGTTCAATCATGGTTAGCAAAAGAACTAGAGGAAACACGTTCATCAACTGAACAATATATAAATGATTATTTCTTTGAAGCATATAATTGGATAATAAAACAAAATGATTTTGTTGTTGAAACAACGTTAATTGGCACTGTTCTTAATGGTTTATCACATTTACATGGAGTACATGATAAATCATTATTTGCTTTGGGCTTAATTCGTGGTTTAGGTGGAAATTTAAATGAAAAAACAAAAGAAGCTTTTGCACGTGAAGTAAGTTACTAAGTGACATGAAATTTATTCAATGTCAATAATTTAAATATAAAAAAATGCTGATTTAAAAAGAAATTTTTAGAGTTTTCAAAGTCTAGAAATAATGGTTGACCTCAAATTTTTAAAACTTTTTAGCTAAAAACCCTTAAAACTTGACGTATTACGATGTAAATCTGCTAATGACGTCTCTCACAGGAAGAGGTTAACGCATTTATACGTAACAGACAAATAACGAATCGAATTTATAATACTTCGATTCTTTCGACGTCACTGACGCACAAAGAAAGTTCTCCGATCAATAATTCCGCTCGAAACCCTCTGAAAAATAATAACAATTTGGAAGTAGGAATCTGCTGATCGAATTCGATGGTCAGCTCTGCTCGAAGACGATTGTTTCGATTGGAACTAGAAAAATCCACTAACTAGATTTTTTTACTTTCAAATTTCCATCATTTTATCGAATCTTTGGCTGCAAGGTAGAAAAATTTTGCGTCTCCACTATCTTTTGGCATGATGTGCTGTCCAATGGCAGCCTCAATGGTCCAATACGTTTCATATAACTAATACTAGCTATGACTATGGACAGAAAGCTGACCTGCCGCAGAATTCTTGCGCTCATTCACTCAATCTTCCCACGCATACTAACTAACCACTTATTAACCATGAAGACAGACTTATGTGACAATGTAGTCAGCATGCTATCGAATAGGTAAACCAAGACAACAGCCGTTAGTGATTTGTCCAAAGTTATTCCATGACTGATTGTAACGATATTTGAACATAGCTCCTTCTCGATACATGTCAAACAGCTTAGTCATTCAACTATGGCGGCCGTTTTTAGCCGAGGTCATTGACCTGGGTTTAATTCTATTGAATTCGAAGGCAGTACGGTTGATAAGAAAGAATTTCTTGAGTATGATACACTATTTCTTTTCTCATTATTGTATATTGCAACTATCGATTGTTTTCTGAGTTAGTGTTGCCTAGTTCTAATTTTTTTCTCCTATCAAATATTTGGATTTCGAATTTCTTATTCTTTTTTTTTTATTTTCAGGTCTTTCGATTAACAGGTGAGCATCCACCTGATCCAAGTAATTTATTATCAACAAAATATGATGAAAAAGCAAAAAGTTTAATGACATATATCAATGATGTAAGTCTTTATTGATATATAAGTATTATCTTCTATTATCATATTCAGGATAAATCTGATCTTACAGCCGATAATTTTAATAATATATACGATCTACCTGTTATTCGTACAGTTGATATTCAACGTTATCTTGATTCATTTCTACCATGGCTTGATAATAAACATCGAAAACCTTTTCTTGTTGTTGGACCTGATGGTTGTGGCAAAGGGTAAAAATTTTCAATAATGAAACTCTTATTTTTTTTTTGTTTTGTTTTTATGTTTCTTACCTTTCAGAACACTTCTACGTTATTGCTTTCGTCAATTACGTTCAACACAAGTCACAATTTTACATTGTAGTGCTCAAACATCTCCAATACATGTTATACAAAAATTAAATCAATCATGCATACAAGTTTCATCAACAAATGGTCGAACATATAGACCAAAAGATTGCGAAAATCTTATTTTATATGTTAAAGATATTAATTTACCTAAACTTGATAAATGGGGTACAAGTCAATTAATCGAATTTTTACAACAAGTAAATAGAAAAAACAAAACAATTTGAATTTTATTTTTTTTTAAATTTAAAACAAATTTAAAATATTTTTTTTAGATATTAATTTATAATGGTTTTTATGATGATAATCTTGAATTTGTTAATCTTGAAAATATTCAAATAGTTGGAAGTATGAATCCATCAAATACACTTGGCAGACATAAATTATCAACACGTTTTACATCTATTGTTCGAATATGTTCAATAAATTATCCAAATGAAGAACAATTACAAATAATTTATGCTAATTATTTACAAGCCATATTACAACAACAATTACCAAATCATAAAATTTGGTCATCACATGGAAAAATTCATCAACTTGCTTTATCAATGATTCATGTTTATAATGAAGTATGAATAATAAAAAAAAAAAAAAATTTCTTTTTTTTAAATTTTATTTTGATTTTAGTTGAGATCTCAATTTAGTCAAGATGAACATAGTCATTATTTGTTTACACCAAGAGATTTAACGCGTTGGTGTTTAAGTTTATTACGTTATGATTTTTCATCAATAAGAAATGATGCAACAGCTGATAGTTTAATTGAAGTATGGACATATGAAGCATGTAGATTATTTAAAGATCGTTTAGTTGGAAATGAAGCACAAGATAAATTTGATCAAATCATTGATAAAACATTAAAAACTGATTGGTCATCAAATGCTTTAAGTTCATTAAGAGGTAAATGAAAAATTTTGTAGTCGTCACAAGAAAAGATACATATTACTAATAGTGTATCTTATTACAAAATAAGATTAATGGTGAAATATGGTATTCATTGAATAAATAATGTAAATAGAGTAGATTTAGAATGAATAGAATCAATAAAATTGCCTGAATTCATTCAAAATTTCTTTTAATCCTATGTTGAGTTGTAAATCGATCGATTGAACCACCAGTGACCACAAAATTGTTAAGATATCCCCGTTGCGAACGGTCTAGCAACCCAGTCGTGCTGTCACAGGGATATACAAGTAGTTCGTAGATTTTTGAACATCTTCAACATTCAGAAAGGCAATAAAATCAATATTGATACCGGTAGTTAAAAATCCAGACTGGTTCCATCTTCGATCCAGTAGGATCAATGATTGAGTTGTAAGGAATTTCATATTCAACATTTTTTCAGACGTGGATTTAAAACTGACTTGCCTTGATTTGAAAGACACTACACTGTCTAGTTAGTAGAAATGAGTAAGCGAACGCATTTAGAACCGTTGGTTACTATTCCAAACAAACAAGTTTATATTCTTAGACAGTTACAATTAATTGATTATCTAATTCTTTAAAGTAAATCTTTGCCATCAAAAACACTTTTTTTCTGTAGAGAAATACTCTTCTACAATTAAGACTTCATCTCTCTCTTTTCCCCAAAGAAAATCAATTCTTACTGGTAGGAATAAAACTTTCGATTAGAATAATGATTTCTTAATATATAAGGCGCTATGAAAATGCATATTTTTCATACCCAAATGCACTTCTACGTAAAAAGTACTTTACAAATTTCTCGAACTGTAAATTGTTTCAATGAGATTGCTATGAGTAATAGATTATTTCATTTTAATTGTAATAAATAAATTTCTTTAGAATCATATTTTGTATCTTGGGTAAACAGTGGTAATCGTCGAGCACTTCCGCCAGCTGGTCGTATATTAACACGTTTAACAAGCAAAGATCTTGGACCATTTATTGAACGTGGTATTACTCGGTATCGTTCGGATTATCGTGATACAGATGTATTTATATTTCGTGAAATTCTTAATACAATTGTTCGATGTGATCGTGTATTAACAACACCTGGTGGTTCATTATTATTAGCTGGTAGAAGTGGTGTTGGTCGTCGTACAGCTATTGGTATTGTTGCATCAATGAATAATATGAAATTATTTTCACCTAAAGTTAGTCGATCATATGGAATAAAACAATTCAAAAATGATTTGAAAGTGGTAGGTTTGAATGATTTTGCTAAGAAAAAAACAGAAAAAACGGTTTTATTTTTAAATAGATTTTACAAAGTGCAGGTGTTGAAGGTGAACAATGTGTTTTATTAATGGAAGATTATCAATTTATTGAATCAACATTTGTTGAATTAATTAATAGTCTTTTATCGGCTGGTGAAGTTCCTGGACTTTATACACCAGATGAATTAGAATCAATTTTATCTCCATTACGTGAAGAATCATCTCAAGAAAACTTTCGTGGTACAATGGTTCAATATTTTGCACAAAGTAATCATATTATAAAAACGTCTTTTAGCACAAATGCTGTGAAATTTGAATATGAACCATGATGAATTCGTTCCATTCGTTAAGCAAAACATCTAGTCACATGAATCATTGTGGCACTCAGTGGTTTTGCTAGTTTTGTCTGTAATAGGAGTAACGCACTGGGTAACGAGATGAACATTAGGTGAAAAATTGAAAATGTACTTTTAAATGATTTAAATAATGACATATGTTCTGACCTATGGGTTATTTAATGAAATAAAAGTTTTTGTTCTTGTTCTTAGCATTAGTTAGAAAACGGCGCTAGTAAGAATTTGGAACCTTTTTTTTATTGTGAACAGAAAAACAATAAGAAGGAACCATTGCTGAGAAAATTATATATAATCTGAGCGTCCATTACTCCAACATAGGATTAGCACGAATCAGCGCGAGTGTTTTAGAACTGAATTGAGAATTTTCTATAAAATCCTTGCTTTTCCAAATAGAGTTCATTTTTCTCGATACAAAAACACTTTCATTGAAGACTAACTTCATATATGGAATCAGCATCGAATAATGTATAATTTATTAGTCTTCGTATAAAAATTGTTTTTTCCTGTACATGTTGAATAATGAACTCTAACACTGATTTTTCAATAAAAAATGCTTTTTATCGGATTTGACTTTTCAGATTACATTGGTATTTGAGACACGATAAAGTTATATTGACAATACAGTAACGTCTTTCTAACGAAGGGATCCATCCGACTGATAATCTCCGCTTAAGTTTATAGGTTGGACTCATAATGTAGATAAAAATTCTGCAAAAGTTTGTTCTCGTAGTATCCTACAATAGGCTGAGAGTTCAGTAGAACGATCATAACTCGATAAGAAAAGTCCATTGGCACGAATCCTTTAGGACTTTTGTCTACATTATGAGGCCAACCTATGAGGTCAAATGAAAATTATCAATTGTATAGGTTCCCTCGTTAGTCAAATAAAATATGTTAGTCTGATCTATGGAAACATGTCCACTACAGAGAGAAGAGGGCAATTTTCTTACTATAGACCTCAACATTGATTATCAATAGTTTTTCACAAAAATTATTTGAATATTATAGGAGTAAAAACAAATTTACATATTGTATTAATTATGGATTTTACTCGACCAACATTTACGGTAGCATGTCAAAGTAATCCCGGATTTTTCAAAGAATGTTCTGTACAATGGATGGAAGGATGGTCTGAAAAATCGATGACTAAAGTAAGAAAACAGCTTAGTTCCTTTTTTTACAATTTTTATTGTATCACCTTTTTTTTTTCGCTTTTATTTAGATTCCATCTATGTTATTTTCCAAAGATCGTTCTGATGAAGCTATGAAAGATGGTTTTACAGAAAAAATAAATTTAGATGAAGATTTATCAAAATTATTTTATTATATTCATCAATCAATGGAAAAAAAATATTTAACACCAAGACGTTATTTAATTTTACTGGAAACATATCGACAAGTTTATTTATCTAAACATCATGCAAATGTTAAAAGACAAAAACATTTAAAATCCGGTGTATCGAAATTAAGTGATGCAAGAAAAGTTGTTGATGATTTAAAACGTAATGCAGAAGTTAAACAAAAAGAACTTGCAATAAAACAACATGAAGCTGATGAAGCTTTAAAACAAATTACTAAAAGCATGGCTGTAAGTAAAAATCGAACATACAGTGAAAAATAAACAAAAAAATGATTCGAATCATTAAGCATTTAGTAATATTATTATGAAAACAATTTTTTTCAGAAAAGAAAATATAAAGTATAAACAAGTTCAGTATAAAGAGATTCTATTTAACACATCATATTATTTATTATCTCTAATCAATTTATATGAATGATTTCATTGAAGATTTTCAATTTCAGAGCCATGTTTAACTTTATTTGCTTGAACAGTTCGTGATCCGAGGTTAACTAATTGTAAACAAAATGTGAGAATCACTTGAAATACATAGTTCAATTTCTCAATAAATTTAACCACAAAGTCCAATTAAAAAAGAATACACTAACTTTGATATCTCCTGTTCCTTTATGCTTGTCGTTATTTACATATATGAATTACATTGTGTATCTGCATGTAGGAGATATTTTACGAGAGTGAATATGGGTATTACTCTTCTATTAGTTGACACATCGACAAGAACTCTGACATTCGCACTAACACACCTTACATCCACTTCTTCAATACGTAATCGTATGGCAACAACCCAATAAAACTGTTTTAACTCGATAGAAAAAATCTAATGGTCTCAGATCCTTTTCGAGTTATTCCAATCTTGAGGTTATCTCTATATTTTCAAAAATGTTGAATCAGTTCGAACAGTTTTCTTATTAGCCAATTGATGAAAGACAAAAATAATATGTGGCTATTTCTAAGCTGTCTATTATGAAACGTTTATTAATTATTGTAACTTGTAATAGATCATAGTTCGAACTTGAAGTTTTCTTTTCTCTAATTCGATAAATCAATAATGAAATATTGCATATACTATAATCTAAGATTTTTAATGTAAATTGTCTTGTTCTGTGACTGAATCTGACTGATTTAAATAGGATGCTGGAACACAAAAAAACGAAATGGAACAACTTAAAGTAAAAGTAAATGAAGAAACATCTTATATCGAACGTCAAAAACGTGAAATTGATGATGAATTAGCTGAGACTCAACCATTAATCGATCAAGCTAAACAAGCTGTTGGTAATCTAAAATCGGATACATTAGTCGAAATACGTTCATTACGTGCACCACCTGATGTTATCAAAGATATTCTCGAAGGTGTACTTAAATTAATGGGTGTATCAGATACATCATGGACATCAATGAAAGCGTAATTTCATTTTTTTTAATTATTTTAATTTTAATTTCTTTGTTTTATTTTATTTTTTTTTTTTGAAATAGTTTCTTAGGCAAACGTGGTGTAAAAGAAGAAATAATGAGTTTTGATCCTCGAAATGTAGTACCAGAAAATCGTGATTCAGTTGAACAATTATTACGTAAAAAGTCGGATTCATTTACACAAGAAAATGCTGCTAAAGCATCACAAGCAGCTGGTCCACTTGCTACTTGGGTTATTGCTAATGTTAAATATTCGAAAGTCTTAGAAAAAATACGTCCATTGGAAGAAAAACAAAATAAATTAAAAAAGTAAGCAACAAGGATCAAACAACAACTGTCATGAAAGAAGGAGGATTGTTAAGCAATTGAAATTAGCTCTTTCGCTCCAAATTGAATTTCTTATTTTCCTAATAGCCAATATAGATATCGAAATTTGACAGTTAGATAGTATACAGCAGCCCACTTTTACAACTCATTTGATAGTCTTTTAAAGGATCTACAGAATGGTACTATTGTGCTGACCTTAATTTGTGGGTAGACATTTCATTCAAATGAACAATGTTCATGCATGCCAAAAAAGATCATTTTCCATGAATATTAGATCCGTTTTAATTAGAATAATTAAACTTTTTAATAAAACAATATAATATTTTTGAAATCAAGATAAACAACTGAGCCGATCTATATTTATCACGAAAGACTTTGATTACTTTTATTTTTGTCCAAAGATCGAATCCTTGGTTCTCTCAGGGTTACGTCAAAAAAATGAAGTCATTTAAAACATCCTTTTTATTATTTATACATTTGTCGTTTTTGCATTTTCCTAGTTTTTTCAAGATTCATAAGTGTCTTTTCGCGGTCAAACCGACGTTTTGACTGCTCTATTTCTGACATCAATCTAAGGGAGAGTACGACTCAATTTTTGGACTTAAACAATAGTTTTCGGAGTATTCTGTGACAAATATAGATTGACTCAAATTTTTATGCTAATCTCAAATATATCACTTTCTTGTTCGAAAAACTAATTATTCTGACCAAAATCCTTCAAAATGCTAATTGTTGACACTCGTGAATAGAATACTGCACGAGTACCAGTGTAGGTGAGGGTAACTGATTCGAAAGTTGCATTATTCTGAGACATCGCTGATAGTTTAACAAAATGACCATTCGACTACGTGATCAAGGATATCGATATGAAGCATTAGCAATAATAGTTCATATGTTCAAATTTTTTATGCTTTTTACTCGCAGTATTCGCAAGCATTTTATGTTTGACTAACGTATCTTGCCTACAAATTGAACTCAACATAATAGTACAAGTTCGTCAAGCTCTCACAGCACTATCGACTGATATAGAGTTCAAAATGGATCGCTGCTATCAAAGCTCGATAAGAGAAGAATTTCTCCATGAGTGTCCTTATGCTGTTTATACAAGTGAACAGTACTATCTAACAAAAAAGAAAAAAAATGCAATTTTATCATACTCCTACATACAATCTGATGAAGGAATGAAAGATCTTTCATTTAATATTGAACTGAAATTAAAAATTCGATAATATAAAGAAAACTTCTCGGAAAATCACGGCATAGAATTTATCTATAAGAGATTGATATATTGAGTTTTGAATCCGTTGTGCACAGCCAAAATGTAAAATCTAATGATTCAATTCGAACAGAAAATAGCTCTTGATATACGAGTTGACTATTGGAAGAATAATAAACACAATGTTGAGAAGAAGTCGATTTCAATCCTTTCAACGATCTTTCTTCTCTCAAAATCGTTTTCTTTTTGGCTTTTATTATTTAAATTTTATTTTAGGAGTTTAGAAAGTTCAACACGAAAAATGGATGAATTAAGTCATGAATTAAAATTAGTTGATGATAAAGTTGAAAAATATCGAGCAACATTTGAAAAGACAACAAATGAAGCGCAACGTTTAAAAGTTGATTTAGAAAAAGCAAACGAAACAATTGAAGCAGCACAAAATCTTGTTGGCAAACTTGAAGGAGAATTTCATCGGTAAAAAAAGAAACAACACCTTTATGTTTGTTTGTTTATTTATTGTTTTTTTTTTCTTCTAGTTGGTCAACTCAAGTTCATGATCTTGATGAACAATTAAAAATTTTACCTAAACTTTCTTTATTATCTGCTGGTTTTATAACATATTTAGCTAGTCAATCAGAAGATAAACGTCTTGATTATATGAATCAATGGAAACAAACATTAAATGTTGATGAAAAATTTGATGTAAGAAAATTTTTATCAACTGAAAGTGAACAGTTAGGATGGAAAAGTCAAGGTTTACCATCTGATGAATTATCTATGGAAAATGCTATGGTTATTCTTCGTTCACAATTATGTCCATTTCTTGTTGATCCATCATCACGTGCAACTGAATGGTTAAAAATACATTTAAAAGATAAAAAAATTGAAGTTATTAATCAACAAGATAATAATTTTACAACACAATTAGAATTAGCTGTACGTTTTGGTAAAACATTAATTGTACAAGAAGTTGATGGTGTTGAACCAGTACTTTATCCAATATTAAGAAAAGATTTAGCTGCACAAGGACCAAGACATGTCGTACAAATTGGAGAAAAAATTATTGATTATAATTCAGATTTTAGAATTTATTTAACAACAAGAAATCCAACACCAGAATTATTACCTGATATGGAAGCTATTGTTAATGAAGTTAATTTTACAACAACACGTGCTGGACTTACTGGACAGGTGATAGGAGAAGTTCTGATGTGATAGACTTATTATTAATTCTATTTCTTTGAGTTCATAGAGAAGTTTTAATATATGACAAATATGTACAAGGAATTCATTATGATAAAAATACACGCCTGATATTCTACTCGAGTTCGAATGAATTAGTTGTTCTGTTTGATTTATTAAACCTTTGTTTAAAAAAAAGAATCAAATGTCACACTGACAAGTTCAGTCAGATCCAAATTTTCAGGAGAAAACGAATTTTTTTAGTATGGAAAATACTCTTAAATGTATTTTAAACTAAACTCGTCCTCGCAACAGCAAATCTTGAGTATTCTATTATGAAACCTGCTAGTAAATAAAGTTTCAGATCAATATTTTTTCATTAGATTTTTCTGTTAATATCGAGCTACAAGTCGAAAAACCAGTAGAACAAACCATAGTTCTAGAAGGACACCGTATAAGAGGGCTTTTTTAAGGATCATTCTAATCTCGTCGAATTGTATTTATGAGTGAAAGATGAGCTCATTCGGTGGGTTACACTGGGAGATCTTTTCTTATTAGATAATTTACATTATAGTAAAGAGTATTTTTCATTGTCATATAATCATTCTCCTTTTGATTTTTTCACCAAAGACTTCAACAAAAAAAGATGGCTTAGCGTAGAGCTGTGGAATACATAATTCAAAAGTCTATCAATTCATAATATCTTCGAATTAAAAATCGGTTTGAGTGTATTGTACTAATAATCCTTTTTTGTCAGATTATGACTATAATAATATGCAGGTGAAATCAGTACAGCCGAAAATAACCTTTTAAAATTCAATTTTACCATTTGCTAATGTTCATATTTTACTATATTATAAGTCTTATAACATGATAATAGAGATTTTATGATTTATTTGAAGTGTAGTGCAAATACGTAGGACCTTTTGCAAGGAAGTCAGCATGTTCAAGATAAGTTTTAATTTCTGAATCATGAAAATCATAAATCAAATTGTTATACTTAGCAAAAAAATTATAATGAAAATGACAAAGATGTTATTGATAATATTGTTTCTTTTACAATAAGATTTCTTAAACTTGTTCAAATCGAATTTTTGATTCTCTAAAACAGAATTGTTTTTCATAGTGTAAATGTAAAATTTCGAACTTCGAAAATAAATTAATGATTCATTTTTGTTTTGTTGATTGAAAAGTTTTGTCATCGTAAAATATTTTATCTTTTAGCTTTTGGCAACAGCTATTCAACATGAAAAACCTGAATTAGAAGTTCGTAAAACAGAATTACTTCGAAAAGAAGAAGAACTTAAAATTGAATTAGCTAAATTAGAAGATCAATTACTTGAAGTAAATTTTATTTCAAATATTTATATTTGTGATTATTTTTATTTCATTAAATAAAAGGATTTAGCCAATGCAACTGGTAATATTTTAGAAAATAAAGAATTATTACAATCATTAAATAAAACTAAAGAAAAATCAGCAACAATAACAAATTCTCTAGAAGAATCTCGTAAACTTGGAGAAGATCTTGATAAAGTATAAAATTCAAAAAGAAAACAAATAAAATTCTATTAAATCAATTATTTGAATTAATTTAGGAAAGAAATGATTATTTACCTCTTGCTAAGCATGGAAGCAAATTATTTTTTGTTATATCAGATTTAGCCAAAGTAAATAATATGTATCAATTCAGTTTGGCTGCATTTTTACGTTTATTTCAACGAAATCTTGAACGAACAGATGTAAGTCATTTTTAAAATTCTCTTCTTGAATTGTTTTCATTTTCTATTTTAGATTAATGTAAGTTATTAAAATGATATTTTTGTTGAAATAAATATTTGTTACAAAAAAAATATTTCTAGAGAGGTTCATCACAAGATCGAACCTTATCTTTAGCGAAAAGTCAAATACGTATGGCTTATAATTATGTAACTCGATCACTTTTTAAATCTGATCGTTTAATGTTTGCAATGCATTTAGCACATGGAATGTTCCCAAAAAAAATTCCTGATAATGTAAAATACATGTTTTTCTTGTTTCTGATTTTTTTGTTTTCTAATAAAACTAAATTTAGGAATGGGAACATTTTATTGGTTTATCAGTTGCTGATGTCAAGGAAGTACGAACATTACCATCATGGGTTAATGAAGAACGATCATATGATGTATCTGCATTTAAAGTGAGTATTAATTTTTAATGGTTATATTAATTTATTTTTGTTCGTGTTTTTATTATGTGAAACTCACATATCTATAATATTTTAATGATATATATCACTAATATTCTTTAAAAAATATGTTATATTTGAAGCTTTCTATGATTCTGTATGATAGTACTTCTTTTCTCATTAGTACATGTAAAAATATTGGCTATTTCAATTCACACCTAATTAAACTTGATGAATTAAAAAGTAATTAATAAATAAATCTTGAAACTTATGATTGAACAACCCTAAGAACTTCAGAAAAGTCTCTACGCTATAAACTATATTTATGGTGAACTTGTCAATCAGATCGAATATCAGAATATTGTCTTTCTCAAACCGTTTTTCCATAGATTTGCTCTTGTCTCAGAATGAGACCATTCGTTTTGCTTTATCTCACAATTCCTAAGAAGGATTCGTACCGTTTAAAATTGGCATTTGGTCTTTTCATCCAGTTATAAAAAAAGGACTTTACGCTTTTATATTCTTACTCTCTGACGTCACCAACAAGGAATAAAATCAATTTTTTGAAAAACTCTAAACATGTTCAGGAAAAACTTTAAGTAAAAATTTTGTAGTTTGAACAGTCCTCTACACAACGTACTCTTTAGCTGCCAAAAATATTATTTGAACTTGTAGACTTTGTATATGAAAACGTATAGAACTGAATTTTGTCGGATATCTAGAACTTAACATAAATTTGTTACTTAAAGATTAGCTAAAATAAATGTTCTAGTCTAATGACATAAGAATCTTTAATTTACGAAATCATATTGCTAACGAATAAAATTGCTCATATATACCATAAATAACCAATAAATGTTGTCTCTCTTTTTCCTTACATTAATTGATAAAGTACCTTCACTAATGCAATTCCTATTTTATATCAACTATCAAAATTCTGTTGCTTACTTGTGTAAATACTAATTGATACACAGTTTCAGACAGTCAGTCATGTCAAATGAATTAATACAGTGCTCTATCAGTTTAAGAAAACTACGTCATCTATAGTATTTGTAGTTCTTTTATTTTCGATGATCTAGTGTCATAATAAGCAGAGAATGTGAGTTCCATATTTTAGTCACGAATGGAGCCAAACTAACAATTTTTTGTTTTTCTTTTAAGACGAATTTTTCTCAACTATTTTCAAATCTTCGCTTTGATGATGAATCATGGTCACATTGGAATTCAATCAATGATTGTGAATTACATTTTCCTGAAGATAAACATTTAACACTATTTGAACAAATATTAGTTATACAAGCATTTCGACCTGATCGTTTAGAAAGTGCAATGAAACAATTTTCATGTGATTTATTAGGAATTAAAGATATATCGCCTGAAACATTAAATTTAAGAAAACTTTATACAAAAGAAACAATTTCAACAGAACCTATTTTAATTATTATTTCACCTGGTGCAGATCCATCAGCTGAACTTAGAGATTTAGCTATAGAAATAACCGGCAAAGATCGATATTCAGAGGTAAGATTTTTTTCTAATGGTATAATGAATTAGTCAAAAAGAGAAAACAAGATTATATTTTTCGAGAAATCAAAGGCACAGACTACTAGAAAAAATGGGCATGAAATATCTAGTTACTCTCCAAAAGTTGAAATTCTCTGTATTTTTACTATATAAGGATGTAATTTTAATCATAGTTAATTTTTAAATAGAAATTTTTTTTTGCAAATACAATTTAACCTGCATTCACATATGTTGCCTAAATGAATGCGATTTTCTATAGTCGCGATAAAAATTTGTTTTTTAAAGATTACGAGAAATTCTGATATTTAGTACTAATGTTATCCTTATTAGACGTTTGTCTGCACTACCGCTGGTATAGTGGAAGTAGACTGTCAGTCAGAGAATAGTCAACCGTTTAAGTATCAAACTATCATCGGTTTTAGTTTGGTGCAAATTACATAGGTTATCTAAGTTTTTGCTTTTGAAGATCGAAAATCAAGAGCTGACATAAATGAAAGTGATCAATGTATTGAATTATCTTTGTTTCTTTTATTATTATCTCAAACATACCTGAAATCAGTATGAAGTTTCTATTAGCTAAAATACATTAATACCAATAATATTGATTTGCAGTAAAACCTCTCTAATGTGAGCACCACCGAGACTGAAAAAAGTGCTGACCTTACAGAGATGCTCATTAATGGGAATTTTTCAGTTATTTTTTCTTCAAATAATAAGTATTCATTTGAAATTGCTTTTGGACTGAATAAGGTAGTCTTTTTCTTCTTTTCAATAATCTATTGATTCAATTGTTGTAATCAAACGTAAATAAAAACCTGTTGGCATGATTTGATGTTACTAGACGTTAATATCAAATAGCAAGATGTTTTATCAGGCAATATTGTTACTGTCTAAATTCTTTTTTCTTAATGCACATGACTAGCCCACTCACTTGCAGTAAAAATCACTCGAGCCGACTCTGAACCACTCAGTATAAGGATGTGCTCATAATGAAGAGGTGCTCATATGGAGAGGTTCTACTATATTTCTATTCAAAATCTACCTTTCTAAATGCAAATAATGTCAGAAAAGAAGATGTGTCTTCAATTTGATGAATGAGACGTGAACAATTTATAGTTTAGCTTAAATTTTTTATTACAAAACCCTGTCACGTATAGATCACGTTATGGTAATATACGGAAAAAAGTTCTCAGATATTTTTCTATCGATATAATAGAAAAATTTCTGTTAACCTTTTTTCATATCTTATATCCGGTGATTAAATTGGATATCATTTGATGCCGAATTTAATTCTACATCTGATAGACCTACTGAAAATCACTGGACATTACATATGAAAAAAAAATTGTCAACAATTTTTTTAATTATATCTATAGAAAAATGTCTAAGAACTTTTCCCCGTATCTTATTTTAATATTTGTATTTAATTATAGATTGCTATGGGTCAAGGTCAAATGCAAATAGCTCTTGATTTATTAAAGAAATGTTCAAGTCAAGGTTCATGGTTATGTTTAAAAAATCTTCATTTAGTTACATCATGGTTATCAACACTTGAAAAAGTAATACTTTTTTTTCTTAATATAAAGTTTTATTATTATATTTCTTTTTTTCCTGAAATTTAGGAATTAAATGCATTAAAACCTCATAAAGATTTTCGTTTATGGTTAACATCAGAAATTCATCCAAAATTTCCAACTATATTATTACAATCAAGTATTAAAATAACATATGAAGCTCCACCGGGTGTTAAAAAAAATCTTTTACGTACATTTGAAATTTGGACACCAGACGAATTTAGTAAAGGAAGTGTTGCACGTTCTCAAACACTTTTTGTTCTTGCTTGGTTTCATGCTATTGTACAAGAACGTCGAAAATATATTCCACAAGTATTTTCGTTTTCAAATTTTATTCATTAAATTTAATCAAGTATTTTTTTTTAAGGGTTGGACAAAATTTTATGAATTTTCTCAAGCAGATTTACGTGCAAGTTATGAAATTATTCATCGATTATGTGAACGAGCCGGACGACAATGTAAAATTTGATTAAATTCATATTTTTAATAAATAATTTTAAATTCTTTTCATTTTAGCTTCGGGTGAAATTCAATGGAATTATATTCATGGTTTATTTGATCAAGCTGTTTATGGTGGTCGTGTTGATAATCCAATTGATACAGATGTATTAAGGTCCTATTTAATTCAATATTTTAATGCAGCTATTATTGGTGGAGCAAAAGGATTAAAGACTAGATTAGCATCGAATATTACTTTACCAAATTCAACAGAACTTCATGTATGTGAATTATCAGATGTCCTAGAGAATATAGATCTTACAGTAGTTTATTGATATTTCTTGTAGTGCTCTGCCAAATAGTATTCTTATTTTTCTTATTGATGTAATGAATATCTATCATTTTCCGAGACGTGATTTAAGTGAACAGGTCAAGACAGACAAGGTTGCCAGTTTTCTTTTGATTATATGTATAGGTATTTTTTTCAAGTTACTTTTTCCTAATTAAGAGAATGTACGAATTTGAGCCACGGTTTTCGATTTGAAGGAGAGATTTTACTTCCACAAAAAATATGCAGATTTCTGCAAATTCTTTACAGCTTCATGGTAACTTTGGATAGAAACTGAGTTTTGAAACACAATTTGCCTTTCTCTGACAGAAAATGAAATAACAATAAGCAGATGAAACCATTGGGACGTGAATAAAATTGAGGAGGGACGGTCTGGTAGCAGGTCTTCTGTTGTTAAAGATCACCACTTATAATATCCCGAGAATGAAAGCACTTTCCCTCGAAGATCATTTATTTTCATAATGTTTGATTAAAAGAATTTTTCAAAAAATTTAAAACGATTTTTAAGATTTGATGAGAGATTTTTAGAGTTTTAAAAGTTCAGAAATAACGTTAGTCTTAGTTTTTTAAGATATTTCAGTTCAAAACCTTGAAAAATATGGATATTTTGATATAAAGATACTGATTAAAGTTCTCATCTTGCAAGATATGAATTAAGGCAAGTCTTTCATTGCAACCGATGCATTGTGCTTCACGAAGGTTTTTCTATTGCTGCGGGGGGGGGGGGGGGGGGGGGGGGAGGATGTGATGGAGGTGTTTTGGAAGTGGAAAGGTGGAGAAAAGGATGAGTT